GGGTTCTGGGGGTTGAATCTAAGGCTTTCAGCAGTGCTACTCAAATAAATGCTTCATCACTACTGGGCGGTGGTGGCCCACGCCTTTAGTCCCAGCACTCGGGAGGCAGAGGCAGGCAGATCTCTAAGTTTGAGGCCAACCTGGTCTACAGAGCTAGTTCCAGAACAGGCTTCAAAGCTACACAGAGAAACCCTATCTTGAAGGTAAAAAAAAAAAAAGAAAAAAAAAAAGCTTCACCACTAAACTGTAGTCCCAGGCCTTTGTTAATTTAGTGCCTGTGGAAGTCAGAAGTCAGCCTTGGATGTCCTTCCTCAGGAGTTCACTTTGTTTTTCTTTGAGACAGGTTATCATCTCATTGGGTCATAGGGCTCCCTGTAGGCTAGGCTGGCTGACCAGTGAGCCCTAGGCATCTGCCTCTCTAGGACTTGGATTATGAATGTGTTTAAGGATGAAGCAGGATAAAGAGAAACCATAAAGCTTAGTGCAATCCTTGTTTCCCACCTACAAGTTCTTCTGGGACCACTTCAGAGCTCCTAAAACAGTGGAACCAGACTACAGTGCTACACTGCAGTCCAGCACTTGGAGGCCGAGGCAGGAGGATAATTCACGACTATTCTCAGCTACATAATAGCAAGTTCAAAGCCAGCTTGGGCTACATGAAGATTCTGCCATTTAAATAAAAATGAGAGGCGGAACGAGCAGTATGCAGAGAGAGCTTCCTGAACACTGATATCCTCGGACTCAGCCCACTCAGTACAAATTTCCCAAGCAGAGAGCAGGGCGGGGAGGAAATATGCTATACAGTGCGTGACAGGTCAAGAGGCGGTGGAGCACCCACCCTGGGTGCTGCTAAGATGTTCCCCTGTTCCTCAGCCTGAGGGCCTTGCCTTTGCTTGTCTTGGACATTTTTATCTCTCTGGCCTTGCTCTATCTGTAAACTGAAGGAATTAGCTCATGTCTTCTGAGGACCCTGTACTCAAGGACAGCTACGGTGGGGACTGACCCTTTCACCACGTGGTCTTTTTCATTTTTTTGGACTGGGTCTCCATGTGCCGTCTTCAAATCTTCCTGCCTCAGCCTTCCGAGTACTGGAATTACTGGCATGAACCATCACGAGCAACTCTAAATTGATCACTAAATAAAAATCTATGTTGGGCGTTGGCGCCGCCTGTAACCCAACACTCCAGGGACTGAGGCTGGAGGATAAGGAGTCGCTATTCTAAAACACAGGGTGTTCTTTATGGTTCCACGCAAGGGAGGCTCTGTCTTCACTTGCCACGCGAACACTGGCCGCACTGATATTCGATCCACGCGGGTGGCTGCAAAGCCGCTGCCCTGACGACGCCCGGGGTTCCAGGCTCCGCGCTGTGACGCGCCGCTCGCGGTCCCCGCCCTGCGGCCAGCACCCCACGGAGGCGGGACCTGGGCGGGGCCAGCAGCCGCGGGAACCCCGAGCCCGCCTCCTCTGCCAGCTCTTTGCCGCTCGCCATGGCCCCGGCGCTGCTGCTGGTCCCGGCGGCTCTTGCCTCCTTCATCCTGGCCTTTGGTACCGGAGTGGAGTTCGTGCGTTTCACTTCCCTGCGGCCGCTGCTTGGAGGGATCCCGGAGTCTGGCGGTCCGGGTGAGCCGCACGGATCCTGGGCGAGCTGAAGCGGAGAGGAGGAGCCAGAGCAGCGTGGAGAGGGCGGGGCATGGAAATAAATGACAGAGAAAGGCCAAAGCTGCGAGGCGCCGCAGGGGAGGAAACAGAAGGCTAAAGCAGAAACTCCGAGATTAGTCAGTCCTGTGCAGAAACTGGGAGTGAGGGCTGACAGAGTAAGGGCGGGGCTGGGGGTAGGCTTTTGTGGGGAGAACTAGGGACAGGGAAAGATAAAAAGAGGAAACACTAGAAAACCCCAACAGCGGGCCGTGGTAGCTCACGCCTTTAATCGTAGCATTTGAGAGGTAGAGGCAAGCGGATCTCTGAGATCAAGCCTGATCTATTGAGTAAGCATTATGTATGTAGAGAGACCCTGTCTCAGAAAAACAAAAACAAAAGAAAGAAAACCACACCAAAGGTGACTTCTCCAGCCTTGCTTTGTGTGGTGTGGTGTGGTGTGTGTGTGTGTGTGTGTGTGTGTGCTTTTGTTTCTGTTTCTGTGTGTGCAGGTACAGCGGAAGGCCAGCCTTGAGTGTCCTTCTTCAGGAGCTAGCCACCTTTTTGTTTTTAGACAGGGTCTTACTAGGTACCTCCAGCTGGCTTGGAACTCAGACTTCCACCTGCCTCTGCCAGAGGGACAGAGTCTGTCGCTGAAACCAGAGGCCTACCAGCGAGATCAGATGGATCACCTGGAACTGGGGTTATAGAAGGTTGTGAGCTGCCATGTGGATGCTGAGAACCAAACTCTGTTCTCTGGAAGAGCAGCAAGTGTTCTTAACTGCCAAGCCATGGCACCAGCCCCCCTGGGCATTCTCCTGTCTCTGCCTCCCCAGCACTGAGATTACCGGCACACACCACCGTTCAGGTCCTCATGCTTACATAGCACTGAGCCATCTCCCCAGCCCACCCACATTTTTTTCTTTCTTTTTTCTTTTCTTTTCTTTTTTTTGTTGTTGTTGTTTGTTTGTTTGTTTGTTTTTTTCGAGACAGGGTTTCTCTGTGTAGCTTTGCGCCTTTTCTGGATCTCACTCTGTAGACCAGGCTGGCCTCGAACTCACAGAGATCCGCCTGGCTCTGCCTCCCGAGTGCTGAGATGCCACCACTGCCTGGCCCCACATTGGTTTTAAAGGCCCTACCTGCATTCTCCTAAGAACCTTCTTCCCCAGGAGGCCTAGGGAAGATGGAAGATTGGAGGAACAGGAAATTGAACTGGGCATGGCCTTGACAAGCTCTCGAAAGCATCAGGGACCTGGCATGGGGCTCCAGAAGATGAGGGAGGGGGTTCTAGTCACCTTATCTTTGGTTCCTGTCTTCCCTAACTCCCACAGATGCCCGCCGTGGGTGGTTGGCTGCCTTGCAGGACCGAAGCATTCTTACCTCCCTGGCTTGGGATCTTGGGCTTCTGCTATTGTTTGTGGTGCAGCACAGCCTCATGGCAACCGAGACAGTGAAGGAATGGACGTCCCGGTACTTTGGAGTCCTTCAGAGGTCACTGTATGTGGCATGCACTGCCCTGGCCTTGCAGGTACGAGGCCTTGGCCAAGGGAGACGTAATTCATGGTGTGCTTACACTGGAGGGACAAGATGCGTGTGTGAGGAACCAGAGGATGCTCAGCTCAGCTTCCATTCCTCCAGAGCGTACACTTCATTCTCCCAGCAGAGTTCTGGTTTTGACATTTCCCAGCACAAGATGAGGCGTCTCACTTGCAGCTTTGTGCTGTCTTGCTTCAAAGAAATTTTGTTGTTGTTGTTGAGACAAGGTTTCTCTGTATAGCCCGGGCTGCCTGGGACTCACTTTGTAGACCAGGCTGGCCTCTAACTCAGAGATCTGCCTGCCTCTGCCTCCCGAGTGGGTGCTGGGATTAGAGACGTGAGCCACCACCCCAAACCACCTCCCTAGGTCTCAAGAGAAGATGCCTTCCAATTAGTCTTCTCATTGGATGCTTGTCATTGGCGAGTCTGGTGGGTATCCACCAGCCCCCATCCCATCCTCTGTAGAAATGGGTATCCTCATAGCCTTGGTACCCCATCCAGAACCTCTACATGGCAAATGTTCACTGTCTATACCTGGGGGAAGGATGGAGTCGTAGGTTGCTGTGGGGCGAGGGAGACCGCTGGCCTGCCTGGTTCTCATCTTTCCGCAGCTGGTGATGCGGTACTGGGAGGCTGTACCCAGAGGTCCAGTGTTGTGGGAGGCTCGGGCTGAGCCGTGGGCCACCTGGGTGCCCCTCCTCTGCTTTGTGCTCCACGTCGTTTCCTGGCTCCTCATCTTCAGTATCCTTCTGGTCTTTGACTACGCTGAACTCATGGGCCTCAAGCAGGTGAGGATCCCACGTCCCTGCCTAAGACCTGTGTCCGCAGCTCTCTCCTCTTCCTCCCACACTCTTCCGTCCTCTTGGCTTTCTAGCCCTTGCCTCCTTTCATGATCCCCTTCTTCAGCTTCCAAGGCCGGTAACTATAGGTTGGGGTGGAGTCTCAAAAAGGATCCTGGGCCTGATTTCTAATATGGTGGTGCCAGGAAGAGGACAGAGTCAGCTGAGGAAGAGGGCTTGATTTCCATGTTGTTCTCTCTCTCCTAGGTGTATTACCATGTTCTGGGGCTGGGCGAGCCTCTGGCTCTAAAGTCTCCTCGGGCTCTGAGGCTCTTTTCGCACCTTCGACACCCAGTATGTGTGGAACTTCTGACAGTGCTGTGGGTGGTGCCCACCCTGGGCACTGACCGCCTCCTCCTGGCTCTCCTCCTTACCCTCTACCTCGGCTTGGCACATGGGCTGGACCAGCAAGATCTCCGCTACCTTCGGTCTCAGTTACAAAGAAAACTCCAGCTTCTCTCCAGACCCCAGGATGGGGGAGCAGAGTGAGGAGCTAGCTCAGGCTCTAAGGCCTGTACTCCCTCAAAATCAAAATCCCTTAGCATCAGGCCGGTTGCTTCAGACTAGAGGCCGTGCTGAAGGGGCTGTCCCTTCCCCTGCTGGAGACCTCAGTCCCAGGGTCCAGGTACCCTGCTCTAGAGTTTCAGCCACTGGCCTCCAGGGTCCACTTCTCACCAACCAAGAGTGGGTACAGAACTCATGAATCTCATCTCTCGGGGCATGACCCCCACACACAGGCTAAGGGTTCTTCCGCCTTGAGCATTCACGCCCTTGGCACTGTTACTGGCTCTGCACCTCAGGGATTCCCTTCCTAGCTTCCACTCCACGGAGCTATGTCAGGGCCAGCCTGCAAGTTTGCTGGTGGTGCTCCTTCCTGTGTGCCGCGGCTGCGCGTTTTCCCCACTCCTGCCTCAATTTCTCCACCTCCTTAGGTCCAGCCCTACAGCTCCTTGGCGCCTCCCGTTTTTTTAACTCTGTCTCCTACAGCGGTGTCTCCCGTTTTTAACTCGGGCTGACACCAGGCTCCCTGCTCTCCCAAAGGATATGCGCTGCAGAAAAATTAAAATTTTCTCCATATGGTATCCAGTTGTCTGTCCATGTCTCTCATGTCATGAGCAGGACCGAGTGTGGGAAGGACGATGAGGCCAAGGTCTTGTGGCAGCAGCCAAGCACTGTCTGACGACCGCTGGGCCGGCGCCACACCCCACGGGCCCGCCCCAATCTCCCAGTCCTGCTCCCTCCAAATATTACAGTTTCTCCGCGTATAGATCAGGGGACCCGTGGGAGACAGAGTACGTCTCTGAGAGGGGAGAGAACTCCCAAAGCCATTTGCCTCAGACTCTGGGGCCTGGCAGCCGCCCACACCACCACGGTAACAAAGACTGGCCGGGGAGAGCAAAAGCATGGGGAGGAGCGGCGAGTGATGGGAAGGGCGGGTCTGACTCCAAGCAGCTGCCGCTTCCTCCCCAGGTCCCCCGGGGGGCCTGAGTCACGGGCCGCCGCCCCGGGTCGGCCAGCTGGAGCAATGGGTCTGGACACCCCTCTTCTCCAGGGCTGGGAGGGGAAGTGGGTGGGGGCCTCTGGAGACCGACCACCAAGAGTTGTGGACTGCCACTGCAAGAGACGAGTGCCACCACGGAGCCCCACGCGGGAAGTGCAGCGAAGCCCCGCCCTCCGCTGGGCTCCGCCCTGCGCCCCCTTCCCTCGCCCCATTGTCCGTAGACAAAGCGGTCGCCGCCCCCGCCTGGCCCCCGTCTGAGTCTCCGTCCCTCCTCCCAGGCTCCCACTTCCCTCCTCCTCTGCTGCCCTCCCTCCCTCCGGATCTCCCTTTGCCTCTCTCCTTCTCTTCCTCTCTCCTGACGCCTGGCTCTACCGCACCTCCTCCTAGGGACCCCCAAGGCGTGTAAGTTGACTGCGGGGCTCCCACTTCAAGGGAAGTGTCTCCCGGCCTCCCTTGGCGTGCCTCCCCCTTTGTGCAGAGGTTGCCTGTCCGTGCAGTCCCCGCGGGTGCATGGCCCCCTGGGTCAGGGTCCCCTGGGAGCGGGGTCCCCGGTTGGGGACGGCAGAGGCATGATGCGGGTCCTCGGAGCGCCCGGGCCCTGGGGCGTAGCTGGCGGGGAGGCCGGCGAGGTTGACCGGACTGGACGCGGGTGGACGCCAGGGTCCTGGGAACGCGTAGGCAGCACCCTCTCTCGGGTACCAAAAGTCCCCAGGAGGGTATTTCCCCTGACCCGCCTCCGGGGCGGGGTGCGCGGTGGGGTGGGGACGGGACTGAGGGGCGGGGCCGAGCGCAGCCGGGAAGGCAGCCGGGACCCGCGGGGCCCGTGCGGAGAGGCGCCCGCGCCCTTGCCCGCTTCCCGCTCTCCCCTTCTCCCCCGACCTCTGCCCTCTGCATCTGCCCCCTGCTTCTGTCCTCACCGTCTCACACCCCCTCCGACCCCTCGCCCCCGCGCCGGCCGGTTCCCGGGTCTTCCTTCCCACTTGTCTCCCCTGGGTACCGGGGAGGCAGCCTGGACTGAACCCGCTCACTTCTCAGCCCCAGTCCCCCGTCCGCTCGCTCTCTCCTGCTTTTCCTCCCTTTCTCACATCTTAGGGACTGTCCAGTGCCCACAAACCCCAGTCTGGCGCTGCCTCTGCCCGGAATCTCGACTCTTCCTCTCCCATTAACCCCACCCCCAACTTGGCACCCGGCTTTTCTCTTCACTTCTGTTCTTGCCTCTTCTGCTCTCCCTCCCCTCCCGGTTCCCCTCTATCTTCCTCCTTAGTTCCACTATCCTCCGTTCTTCTTCGTCTCTTTCCGCATCACTTCCTCCCCCCAGCCCCCATTCTCAGTCTCCGGGCCCCTCCGAAGCCTAGCCTTCCTGTTCCTGTCCCCCAGTGCTCTCTCGTTCACTTCCAGTGACCATGACCGCTATCCCAGATTGGAAGCTACAGTTGCTAGCCCGGCGGCGGCAGGAGGAGGCAGCGGTTCGTGGCCGTGAGAAAGCGGAACGGGATCGCCTGTCCCAGATGCCAGCCTGGAAGCGGGGAATCCTGGAACGACGCCGAGCCAAGTCAGGCCTGCCTCCTGGAGAGGCGAGCCCTGTGCCTGGGACTGCAGAGGCTGGACCTCCAGACCCAGACGAGTCCGCCGTCCTCCTGGAGGCTATTGGACCAGTACATCAGAACCGATTCATCCAACAGGAGCGACAGCGGCAGCAGCAGCAGCAGCAGCAGCAGCGGAATGAAGGGCTCGCTGATAAGAAGCCTGGGCCTCTGGAGGCCCTAGAACGGAGGTCAAGTCCCGGTAGTTTAAGAGAGCAGAGCCCCAAGGGAAGAGAGTCAAGAGAGGAGAGGCTGAGTCCCAGAGAGGCCAGAGAGAGGAGGCTGGTGATAGGGGGAGCCCAAGAGTCATGTTCCAGGACTTCGGAGACCCGAGACTGGAGGCAGAGCCCTGCGGAGGCCAGAGATCTGAGTTCCAGAGCAGCAGAGGCCCAGAAATGGAGGCTGAGCCCCGGAGAAACTCCAGAGGAGAGTCCGAGGTTAGCAAGTCCTGGAGATCACAGTCCCAAGAGAAAAGAGGTATTAGAAAGCCGACTGAGCCCCGGGGAGTCTGGCGACCAGAAGGCCTGCCCGACAGAGGCCCATAGATGGAATCTTGACCCGAAAGAACCCCAGAAACAGAGCTCGATACAGCTGGAGGCCGCAGAGTGGAGGCTGAACTCAAGAGAAGAGAAAAGAGACTACTTGGAGGAGTGCGGGAGAAAGGAAGAGAAACTGAGTCCAGGGATTGTCCTAGACCAGTCTCCAGTGACAAAGGAGGTTCAAGACAACACCTCTAGAGAAGCGGAGACGGCCGAGCAGAGGCCCAGCCCTGTGGAGGATGGAGACAGGATCTCGAGGCCCACCGAAGGCTGGAAATGGACCCTAAACTCGGGGAAGGCTCGAGAACGGACATCTCGGGACACAGAGACTCGAACTCAGAAGCCAGATGCCCCGGCGTCTTCAGAGAAGCACCTGGGGCCTTCTGGTGTGGAGGTTGGAGGCGAGGCTGAGAGGGAGGAGGCGGGGGCTCAGAGCAGGCCTCTGAGAGCCCAGCAGAACCTCTGCTCTGGGCCCTCCCCCCTCCCACCAGAGCAGGCCGGGGCTGGGACGGAAGGCCCCAGACAGCAGGAAGAGGAAGCAGCAGAACTCCGGCCCCCAACGCCAGCCCCTCTGTCTCCCCCACCCCCAGCCCCAGCTGCCCCTCAGCCCCCCGGGGACCCCCTCATGAGCCGCCTGTTCTATGGGGTGAAGGCAGGACCGGGGGTGGGGGCCCCCCGCCGCAGCGGACACACCTTCACTGTCAACCCACGGAGGTGTGTGCCCCCGGCCAGCCCAGCCCCTCCAGCCTCCCCTGCCACCGCTGATGATGCTGCGGGGCCTGGACCCGGGAAGAAGCGGTACCCAACCGCCGAGGAGATCTTGGTGCTGGGGGGCTACCTCCGTCTCAGCCGCAGCTGTCTGGTCAAGGGGTCCCCTGAAAGACATCACAAACAGGTGAGAAAGCGGCCACGCATGCCTGCGCAGAAGTCTCCTTCCAGCTCTGAGTGGATGGCTTTTTTATGTGCCCGTGCGCCTGTCTTCTGTTCCTATTCCTGCCGCCCCGCTTCCTCCCCGCGCACACACACCCTTCCTCTGGGCAGCCCTCCTGCGCCATTCATTTCGGAGCACCCAGCAGTCAGCAGCTGTGTTGGGGTGTGCCGTTTTCAGGGTGTGTCCAGGCCGGTGCCTTCTTCCCTCATGCTCTCAATCCCCTCGCCTTTCTCCCCCCCCCCCCTTTTGAGTTTCTGACCCAGCCAAGCCCTTTTGGTAGGAGAGAAGAGAAAACCATCTTGCAGCCCTGAAGGCTGGGGTGAAAATGCCCGGGAGGGCAGAGAATGTGGAAGCAAGGAGTTCAGGGAAGTTGGAATGAGGGTCTCAGCCCCAAGAAAAGCGGGAACAGAACTAAACGAGGACATCCCAGGACGGAGAGAGAGTGAGATGGAGCAGAGCTGGCTGAAGAGCCGAGAGAAGGCTGTTAGACCCCCAAGTCAGCCTCCCCACCCCCCACCCCCAGGAGAGGCAGACAGAGGCCATTTGAAGTGGGTGACCTCGGGGTTGCCTGTCTCCCCCAGCTGGGCAAATGTGAGACAGTGCCTCCTTCTCTCTGGGGACAAGAAAAGCCTTCTCCTCTTCCAAAATATCCCAGTCCCTTCCCCCACCTTTCCTCCCGGGCTTCCCCTCCCCCATGGAATTGGCTCACCCTTGGTTTTCCCCCGTCCCTCCTACCCTGGCCTCTCCCTCCCCTTGGGGTAGAAAAACAGAGAAGTTCATTTGCACTGAGCTGAGCAGAGCCGGCCTAGGCACTGTGGGAGTTGGGGGCAGGGTGGGGCTGAGGCCAGCAGAGGGTCAGAGGTTAGCCTGGAATGCAGACACGCAAGGAAACACTGGACAGCGTAACTTCTCCCTCCGGTCCTGGGCCATTCCGTCCTCCCGAGCACCAGGCAGTTTCCTAAGTGACGCCTCGGACCAGAAGGTCCTCCGCCCAACCCACATCTCCCCGGGGCCTGGGAAGCCTGCTCCTGCCTCATCTATGTAGCTGTGTGTGTTTGGTGTCAGTGGGAGACCATAAGGACCAAAGATGAGGGCCAAGCTGGGGGTCACTTGATTCCTCCCAGTTCATCTTTCTGTTGATTTTCACTTACGTACAGAGTATTCATTTTCGTTATAGCATTTTTGAGTGTGACTTTACTGTTTCACCTCTGTCGCAGCTTCGCTGGAGCTCCAGCCCTCCTGGGGTGGTCCCCGAGAGTGTACCCTGAGCCCTCCGACTCCTATTGGCCCTCCCTTCTCAGGACTTGGCAGATCTCAAGGAGATGCTCCCAGGGCGAAGTGCTCAGAAGAGTCACTTCCTCCCGAGGATGGCTTGTGACTTTGGGGAACGAGCAGAGGGATGTGCAAGGCTTTGTAGCCCAAGCCTAGGAACCATCTGGGGGAAGCCAAGGAGGCTGGTGCAGAGCGGGACCTGTGATGGTGACCATACCTCGGTCACCAAGTAGGAGGGCGGAAGCAGACCTTCCAAACAGGAAGCCTGGTGGGGTGGGGGCCGGAAGGCTGGTGGGACTGAGTGGGAACGCTGGGCCTGGGGGCCTGCCAGCACTGTGCTCAGGATGTGGTGAGAGAATCAGGAAGCAGCCCCACTGGGGTGGGGGTGGGGAGGAGGCAGCAGAGTTCCCTAGACATGACCATCTACCCCCCTCAGCCCTCTGTCTGTACAGCCTCAGAGAGGCTGGCTGTACTTCACCCTGCTCTGTCCCAACCATTGCTACGCTCCCTCACCACCCCTCACCCTTCCTAAATAGTTCCTTTTCAGACTGCTTCATCAGACCTGTCCCTGCCATCATGAGGGACATCACCCCTGCTCTGAACCAGGCTGGCTGTGGCTGGCGCTTTTCCCCAGCAGCCTCTCTGGCTGGAGACCTGCCCCTCCTTCCCTGGCCCCCTTGTGACCTTATATAGCTGATGAGAGAGGATCCAGTGAGTCACTTCCCTCCCTGCCTCCCCCCCCTCCCCATTCGGGTTATGCATTCCTGAGGAGCCCAGTCAGAAGCTGGGGGGAAGTGAGGCAGAAGGGGGTGACACAGAAGTGGATGCCAGAGTAGATGGAGTGAATAAATGAATCCTGTTGCAGAGCTGGTGATAAACTGCAGGGCCAGGGAGGGGAACTCAGGAAAGAAAAGAGAACGGGCTTCTGGAAATTTGGGTAAGGCTGTCCACAACAGAACTAGCCTGGGTCCCTTTCCAGACACTGGGATGTGAGCCATCTGGAGGCTGTCCCGCTCTTCTGTCCACATCCCCTCCTTTCCTCCGTCTTCTGCTGGGGCCTCACCTCATGTCCAGACAGACCCTCACCTTGTGCAGCGTGGCAGCTTGTAAACTCCTTTCCAGGCAGCCGTGTGTGTGAGTAGCCAGCACAGTCAGCCTTCTGCAAACCTGATTTCAACCAAGCACAGACCAAAAATATTCAGGCCCTCCAGGCGTGTGGCTCAGACTTGTAATTCCATCGGTGGATGTCAAGCTCAAGGCTAGCCTGGGCTATTCAGTGAGCTCCAGTCTCAGAAATTAAAAAAAAAAAAAAAAAAAAAAAAGGACTGGAGAGATGGTGCGGTGCGGCCACCAAGGGTGCTCGCTGCTCTTGCAGGGAACCTGGACCCAGTTACCAGCACCTACATGGTGGCGCCAATCCTCCACCCCAGGTCCAGGGGATCTGATGCCCTCTTCTGGCCTTCTCTGGCACTGAATGCACATGGCACACTTAGATGCAGGCAAAACACTAAACACATAAAATGGGGGGGGGGGCTTCTAAAAAATAATAGTGAACTTGAGAATGGGAGGGCTTGTGTAAGTCATATGCAGAGTACTACACCTTTTTATATAAGGGACTTGAACACTTGGACATCTTGTGTGAAGAGGTCTTACTACAAACTCTCCCAAGATATTAACGGGTTCTCTAGTGGGTTAGAAGGAGGTGAGTGCTTATGGAAATATTAGTACAAGGGTATGTGTGATCGGATCAGGACGTAGAGTAGGCTGCAAATGTGGCAACTTCCAAACAGGATGCCCTGGAGTAGAGGAGCCTCGGGGACATTTAGGGGAAGAGTATCCCAGGCAGAGGGGACAGCACAAAGGCCCAGAGGCAGAGGCGCGCGCACCTGGGAGGCTGGAAGCAAATCGCTCTGTTGCCTTTTGTTAAAAGCTCTGGATTGTGTTCAGAGTGAGATGAAATCAGACGCCATGGCAGGGTTTGGACCCAAGGAGTGATACGTACAGTCTTGGGTGCCTTGCTTTCCTTAGGTACCAAGGTGTCACACCTGTCCTTGCAGCCACGCTGTAGGTCACACGGAGGCTCTGAGATGCTGGGCCACAGATGCCCCGGGGAGATCACCTGACACCCCCTCCTGTTTGTCTCCCTAAACCCTTTGGCAGAGTTAATCCCACTGAGCTCCTTAGGAGGGCAAGGGAGAGGACAGAAGGGCCTGAAGACAGCCTGTTTTTAAGGATTTCTGCCCCTCTGGTCTTTTGCCTGTTTTTGCAGATGCCCTCTGGCTTCCTGCCTCTGTTTTTGTGGTACCTACTGGCCTCCTCTCCATCCCTACCCAGGGTTTGCCTGGACTTTCTTCTCCATCCTTGTCAGATCTCCAGTTGCATATTCCAGAGACTCTTCTGTGTGTTGAGTATCTCTGGCTCAGATTGTCCTTTCCATTGTCCATTCCCCAGCCAGGACCTGCAGGATTGGACAGGAGAACAGGTCGGGAAGGGGAAGGGGCAGGCTCTCTGGAGTCTGGGTATCCCAGAGAACATCAAAGCCCTGAGGCTATGGAAAACAGGGCACCTTCAGGGACTCCCTTCCCAGCCAACTTTTTACTGCAAGGCCAGCCCAGACTTCACCTCCTTTGGAATGCCCCAAAGGGTGCCCAGAGTCCCAGGCCTGGCCATAGCACTTCCTCTATGCACTTTGGTTTCTTTTTACACCTCTGCCTCACAGCTGTAAAGGGTAGAGATCTGGATCTTACCTTACTTACCCAGATACCCAGTCCTGACCATGGGCAGAGCCTTCTTCTTGTTTGTTTTTTGTTTTTGTTTTGTTTGTTTTGTTTTGGTGTGTGTTTGGGAGGGCTTACTTTTAAAGACAGTGTCTACCTATGTAGACCAGGCTGGCCTCAGGCTGGTCTCCTTGAGTGCTGGGATTAAAGGAGTGTGCCACCATACTTGGCTGACTTTTTTTTTTGTTGTTGTTTCTTGAGACAAGGTTTCTCCGTGTAGCCCTGGCTGCCCTGGAACTCCTTTGTAGATCAGGCTGGCCTCGAACTCACAGATCCGCCTGCTTCTGCCTCTGCTTCCTGAGTGCTGGGATTAAAGGTGTGAGCCACCACCACTCCTAATTTTTTTTTTTTTTTAATTTAGACAGTTTTAATAGACATAGAGGGCAGGCCTGGAACTTAGTGTAATCCTCCTGCTTCATCATCCCCTGAGTGCTGAAATTACTGGTGTGAGGCACCACAACTGGCTGTTTGGGGGGTTGTTGTTTGTTTCTGTTCTTGGGTTTTGTTGTTGTTGTTGTTTTGGTTTTTTTGAGACAGGGTTCCTCTTTGTAGTTTTGGTGCCTGTCCTCAAACTCACAGAGATCCACCTGGCTCCTCAGTGCTGGGATTAAGATTGCCACGACCGCCCCCGGCCTGTTCTTGGTTTTTTGTTTTGTTGTTGTTTTGCGTTAATTTTGGGGTGGGACACAATGACACAGCACCCTGTGGAGGTCAGAGGTTGCAAAGATTAAACTAGGAGCATCAGGCCTGCCTGCAAGTACCCTTACCCACTGAGCCATCTCAGTGGCCCAGATCTGGTTTGGGTTTGTTTGTTTGTTTAAGATTTATTTATTTTTGCCAGGCGATGGTGCCACAACCCTTTAATCCCAGCACTCAGGAGGCAGAGGCAGTCAGAGTTCGAGGCCAGCCTGGTCTACAGAGCGAATTCCAGGGCAGCCAGAGCCACATAGAGAATCCCTGTCTCGAAAAACAAAACAAACAAAAAGATTGATTTATTTTTATTTTATGTGTGTGAGTGTTTTGCCTGCCTGAATATATGTGCACTACATGCATGCCTGGAGCCCGCAGAGGGCGTCAGGGTGTGTTTTCTGGAACTACAGTTACAGATGGTTGTGAGAGGCCATGGTGAGTGCTGGGAACCGAACCCCGGACCTCTCCAAGAACAGTGAGTGCTCTTGACGACCTAGCCATCCCTCGAGCCCCCAAGTGTTGTTTTGTTTGATGTCATTTGAAGGAAAAATCAAGCTGTAAAGGAAAGCCGAATCTCCAGCTGGATGGAGCGGGGAGTCTTTGGGGCGCCTACGGCCAGCCCCCTCCATTCGCATCTGCTCTCTGGGCTGTAGTAATGAACTTGGCTCCACTCCCCTCTCTTCCCACCCTCAGCTCAAGATCTCCTTCAGTGAGACGGCCCTGGAGACCACATACCAATACCCTTCCGAGAGCTCGGTACTGGAAGATCTTGGCCCGGAGCCTGAGGCCCCCAGTGCTCCCAGCCCCTTGGCAACCCATCCTGACGACGACGACGAGGAGGAGGAAGAGGAGGAGTTGCTACTGCAGCCAGGGCTCCAGGGCGGGCTGCGCACCAAAGCCCTAATCGTGGGTAAGCGGCGGCGGCGGCGCGGCCGGCGGAGGGCGCCCCCTGGTGTCCATGGCGGGGTGCTTTGAAGGGGCTTGGCCCAGGACCTGCTCCTGCAGATGGAGGATTCCTGGAAGCCGAGTGAGTGCACATGGAGTCTCCAGATTTCAAAACCAGAGGTCGCTCGCTCGTTCCCCAGATCTCCAATCTGGTTAAAAATACCCATGTGGGGTCAGGTGGCCTAGAGTATGAATTCCAGCTTGCCTGTTACTTAAGGTGTGCTCCCGGATCCATATGGGCTCAGTTTGAATTTATCTTGTGTGGGGTGTGCATGCCCACACTCTAGGAGTCGAGTCCAGGGCCTTTAGTGTGCTAGGCGAGTGCTCTACCACTGTTCAGTATCCCCACCCTTCATTATACCATTCTTTTTTGTTTGTTTTCAAGACAGGGTTTTTCTGTGTAACCCAGGCTGTCCTGGATGGAACTCACCCTGTAGACCAGGCTGCATTTTATCATTCTTTAAAATAGAGTTAATAACTGTGTCCTGGGCTTCGGAGTGTGTAGCTCAGTGATATGATTGGTAACCCCACCGCTCCGGTGGAAACACAGGAACATCTTGGGCTACACTGTGAGTTCCAGGGCAGCTTGGGCTACACAGATTGAGAGCCTGTCTGAAACCCATGAACAAACAAGGTTGTGTTCCCTGCTTTAATCCCAGCACCATGAAAATTTCATAGTAATCACTACCTCCTGCAGTTGTTGAAAGAACTGACAAGCTTTCTTTGAAGCATCTCGGACTATAGCTAGATATTAAATTACTCCACCTTTGCTGAGATGATTGTGAAATTAAACAGGATGCCTAGTGCGCAATCCCAGCTAACTGTGGTGACTCCTGTTGCTGGTGACAGGCACGCACCCAGCACATTGTAAAGATTTCTCTTATACCAGCCACTCTTCGGTTCTGGGGTGCATGGGGCGGCTGGTGGCAGAGGCTCTCCCCACCCCTGTCTTGATCGCTTCTTTTCCTGCAGATGAGTCCTGCCGGCGGTGACCATCTTCCAATTTGGGCACGTACCTCCCTCCTTCCCATACCTGGAGATCCTGCAGTCTGGACGATTCAGAGCCGACGGACCCTAGCAAGGAGCCTGGCAGGGAAGGGCAATGGGCATATTCCGACTTGCTTTTCTCATCCCATTTCTGGGGCAGAGCCAGTAGCCTAAATTTACCCCTAACCCAAGGTCCCCCGTGGGTGTAGTCACGTGGACTGGAGCATCCTTGGCGAGCTAAGAGTGAGCGACACAGGATTCACCTGGAGTTGAGGTAGATGGAGCACCTCCAGCCCCAGGACAGGGAGCACCTCCAGCCCCATGGCAGGGTACACTGTCCCCACAGCCTCCTTTGACTTCCCGCCACTCCCGGGGACACTCAGGATTTAAGCACTCACCTCCCTGGGAGGTCTAGATCCCACTCCATCCACAAGCTTCCTTTTCCTAGGTAACTGCCCCTTTGTTTACAGCTTCCTCCTCCTCTCTTGAACACAGCCTGGTTTACAAACCCACCAGCTCCCAGGTCCGCCTGCCAGAGTCCCAGGTTTACAAGCTAGGCCTAACTCACAGCCTTCCTGAGGAATCCTCCACCCTCCATTTGTTATTATTGAGAGTGACCTGGGGAGGTATATGGCTTTCCTCCACTTTGCTCAGTATTACTGTGCCTCAGTTTCCCCCGAGAGGGAAAGCTGGGGATCCTAACTCTTGAACCCCATGAGAATTATTTAATTCTGTTCCCCCACGTGGTTCACATTGAATTGAATTGCAGTGTGGGGGGGACAAAGGGAGGCGCCTCACCCCTCCCCGTTTGCTCCTTTGCCAATTGCCTGATTTGTTTCATTTTGTAACTTTCCGTAATAAAATGGAGCTCTTTTCAACTCTTGCTGCCTGTTTCTCTTTAAATTTTCCTTCATTTTCCTTTTGTATGAATGAGTGTTCTGCCTGCATGTGTGCCTGTTGTCTGTGGGGGTTCAAGGGCGTCAGACCCCCTGGGACCATCTGGGTGCTGGGAGTCAACCACATTCTCTAGAAGAGCAACCAGTGTGCTTAACCATTGAGCCGTCTCTCCAGCCCCTTTCTCTCTTTTTAAATTAATTTATTTATGTGTAACTATGTTTTGTGTGCTTCCAGCTCACTCTGCTCCACCCCACCTGTTTTGAGAGTAGGTCTTAGTATGTGGCCCTGGCTAGCCTGGAACTTACTATGTAGAACAGGATGGCCTGGAACTCACAGACATCTTTCTGCTTCCCACGTGCTGGGATTAAAGATTTACACCACCACACTGGCTAAAAAAAAAAAATCTTTAAAAAGACAGGACGGGCTGGAGAGACGGCTCAGCAGTTAAGAGCACTTGTTCTTGCTGAGGCCCAGATTTAGTTCCTAGCACCCATGTAGTGGCACACAACCATCTGTAAATCCAGTTCCAGGGAACCAGATGTTTTTCTGTCCTCACTGGGCAACAGGCCTACGTCGTACACAGATATACATGTGATCAAAACATTTATTCACAAAATAAATCATTTGTGTGTGTGTGTGTGTGTGTGTGTGTGTGTGTGTGT